AATCTTAAAAAAGACATGAGTACCTAGTGGGGTGATACATCAGTGCTGACCTGTATTATCCTTGGTGAATCACTTAAATTTTTCTGAGACTTAATTTTATTATTTGTACACTTGTCTGATGAACTAGTAGAATTCTGATGTACAGAATACCCAGAAATTGAGTATCTGCTACATTGCAGTAAAATATATCCTGAGCTCATAATATATAATAGTTCCTTATATCTTAGAAGGTTTACCAGGTGTCATTTCTTATTTATGATGTTTTACATTTTACTGAAGAACGTGACACAATGTTTTACTTCTTTGTTAAAAAACGAAAGATTTGTTTGTTTGAAGCAGTTTTGCAGAGAGAGAGAGGGAGACATCAGAGAGAGAAGTATTGAATCTGCTAGTTCATTTACCAGGTGGCCCTATTGCCAGTGCAGAGCTAGAGCAAAGCCAGGAACCTGTGACTCCAAAGTAGGAGACGGGCCCAAGGGCTTGGAGCCATCTTCTGCTTTCCCAAGCAAACTGTCAGGGAGCTGCATTGCAACTGAAGCACAGAGAGTGGGACTGGCACTCCTGAACACCGGTGTGGCAGCTAGTGGTTTAACTTGCTGTGCCACAATGCTGGCCCTGCAAAATTTTATTTCTAAATTAATTTTTTATGAACTAAATGTTACAGTATAGGTTAATTTTTAATCATTTTAACTTTCAAATTCCACAATAATACAAAAAATGTTATTGTTTATAGTCAGCCATTCAACAGGATATACTTAGAAGTGAATATGTTACAATTGTAACTCAGATATAGTTGCTGAACATGAGGATCCTGGACAAGGTAGTGTAAAATATGAACTAGTTCAGTTTCACTATGATTTATTTTTGATTATATGTTTAATAGTTTCGACTGCATATTATATAAATGTAGATGGATTAGTTTGAGTTTTTCCATTTTAACATATGGCAAACTTCTGTCCCAAAGATAGATGTGCTTAAAGCATGGCATATATTTATAGCTGGGATCAAGGATTTGGAGTAGAAATGACACTGACTTTTAAATTTTCTTTTCTATTCTGGATCTACCCAGAATTATTTCAATGAAATATGTTTTTAGAACTGAGGATTCTTTTAAGGAATTTGAAGAAAATATAACATTTTTATGCAATTAGAAGGAATATCGATGTATTCGTACTGTGGGAGTTTTAGGAGATAATCTAAGTTGCAGCAGCATTTGAAAACAAGAAGGTTAAAAATACACGAAGATGCTTGCTGGGACAACATACACATTCAGGTTTGAGTGTTACAGAGAAAGGGTGCACAGCTCCTGAACAGTGTGCCATGTAAACTCATGAAGTGTCCCAGGGTTTTCAGAGGGAGGTTGCCTAAGGGGTACCAGAATACAGCCGAGGAGAAGTAATCAGCTCTGCTGTTCAGTAGCAACAGCAGCGTGACTAGAGTTCACATACCATGTTGTACCCTTTATGAAATACAAGAAGAGTGGAGCTTGTAGGCTGCAAGTGTAAAGGGTGAGGGTATTTCCCTTCATCTCTTCATAAAATACTGCACTGAAACAAAAAAAAAATTAGTTTGAAGATATTTCCCATGGAATATTGTAGTACTGTAAATAAATCAATAAGATATATGGACCTCTGTATTGGTATCATTCAGTAACAGCATTTACGCTGAGCTTCATCTTCTCACAGACAAAAAGAATCATTGTCTTCATATATATAAAGTAAAGCAGTAGAACACTTTGCAATTTTAAATTCTGTAAAATTATCACAATGCAGGTTTTATGCAATACTACCCAAACTAGAACTCCTACAGTGAGAGAATCGGAAAAGCTGTAGTGTAGTAGTATGTGACCACTTACCAGGTGAGAAGGAAAGCTGTGGCATTGTTAGCAGGTTGAGTGTGGCGTGACAATCCAACAGACCAATTGGGGTTAAATTCAGTACGAATCAAGACCATGCTTTCAGTCACTGCTCTGTTTGTCGTTTATGCAAGAAATGTGACGCAGTTATTGATATTGTGATTATAGACTCTTAGTTGATTTCTATGGAGTATGTGAATTAAGACAAATTATTTAGCTTCTCTGTCTAAGTCTCCTTGTTCTTGCTAAAGATGATAGTATAGTGCCTTTTTCAATCGGTAAGAAAATTAGATGAGACAATGCAGGTAAAGTCTTGCTAACACAGAGAAAGCTGTTAGTAAAAAAAAAAAAAAAAATGTCACATATCAGTACCAGCATCATTATTCTCACCATCACCATTGTCAGTTACTCTAAAAATCAACCTAGTTTTTGAATCCTTCATGCTTTAATATTGAGATGATGAGCAAGAATTTGAAAGTTGTGTAGTGGAAATGAAAACTGAGCCTAGAAAAATTAGTAATAAATACCAAGAACAGAAGAAAAGACAAGTTCTAAAACATACTATAATCCTGCGGTGCAGAAGTAGCACATTTGTTCAAAAGCTCCCCAGGTTCTACTCAGACCCTCTTCATTCTCTCATCAGCTTTTCCCATCTGACTGGTCTCAACTTCTGTCAGTTTCTTTGCCATTCCATAAATTTACCCAGCAAGTACCTGCCTCAGCCCTAGGTACCTGCTGTTTCTTTTGCCTGAGATATGTACTCACTAGATGCCTGTATGGATGGCTATGTTGCTAAACTTAGATTTTTGCTAAAATGTCACTATTCCAATGAAACCTTCCCTGACTGCCCAACTTCAAATTACATCCCCACCTGCCACTGAATTTCTGTCCAGCCTGTACTTCAGCTCCCCCTTGCCCTAGTTTATTATTGTTTTCATCATTTTAACTGTTTTCTCCCATACAATATATCATAATTTTTGAGATTGCTTTTATTGGTTGATTTACGCCAGTAAAATACAAATTTCTTGCAGGCAGGTGTCTTTATCTTCTTCACAGAATACTGCATGCACCTGCAACACTGGCTGTCACATCTATACTCTCAATACATGCTTCTTGAATGAGTGACTGAATCAAGACTCCTAATGACTAAAGACTCCTAATGTTGAAGATTTTCCTGAAATTGTATCATTCCATCTGTTCTCTGTGCTGAAGAATAGAAGTGAAACATTGGTTCTCTTAGGAACATGTGCTGTAATCCATTGAGAGAAAACAAAAATTCCCTGTCATTCAATACCTTGTGTGTTAACCTTAAAGAACTCTGCCTCTCTTTCCTTTCTCTATCCTCCCACTATACTTTGGCCTTCTGCCTCTTACTTCAAGAATAAATTTCCTTGCCAGCAATCAGAACCCTCTTCTCCCACTGATTTCAGGCATGTGCTGTGGCTTTTATTTGCTGCCACCTTAGGATACCTTCCACTGGCCATAGGTGCAGTAAAGAAATTAAGAATCTAAGTGTGTCCCAAGCCATACCAGCTTTCATGGTTTCTTTTCTTTTTGGACAAAGATGCACCCATAAGGCATATGTCAAAGTTTACATCTTCCCCTCTCCCTGTTGGACAGTATATAGGAAAAACAACTTTGGAGCCAAGTAAACTTATACTCTAATGCCATCTTTGCCACTTACGGACTGACTTTTTTTGACTTTGGCTTGAACCTGTCTGCTTGTGTGTCAAGTGGAGAAGACACTTTTTATAATGGTAATTATGGAGACTAATAGCATCAATGCCTTTTTTAAGCACCTGGCACAGTTGTCTTTCAATATTTTGAGCATTCCCCAACTAGTAAGACAGCGTAGTGACAAACATCTCCCCCCTGTATTGTTCTTTCATGTTGTGTGACATGTCGAATCAAGTGGAGGATGGTGAATGCATAGCTGCCATTTGAATTCAGAATGATTAGGCAGTGTGAACCCATTTTCTCGCAGAAGTTGAAGAGAGAGGACGTACAGCAGCTTCATTCTTTAAGCACCTGGTGAAAAATGGTCTTTGTGTCTTGACATTTATTTTAGTCTCCTACATGACCTGCTTTATAAATAATGGGCACTCAATTCAAATGTATGACATTAGTAAGAAAAGACAGAATTGTCTCAAAATTTGTGGAAAGAAGAATATCAGGAAGGAAAAATAAGCATTGTACAACTGAATACTCAACAGTAAAATGTAGGTTCTTATGTATTTTATATTTGTTTCTTCACAATAGTTTGCATTTATTTCAAATATATTGCTTCTGTAGGTAACTATGTAAGATGATGAATATATTCATTTTTGGATGCATTAACTATCCGTGTGTATGTGTGTGTATTACATTGTATACCTTAACTATACAAAGCAAAATTTATTTTAAAAATACATACTTGTTTACCGTGTAGGCTATGTAGTCCCATATAAACTGCCTTGGAAAAGAAAATTCTCTATATTCAGTATTTGATGCATTATTTTATCAGAAAATGCATTTATAGTTTCAAAAGTTGAGTATATTAGATGTCTGTTTTTAATTTTAGAGCATATTGGGGGCATTATAAACTCCTCAATTTATGATGTGTTTAGCTTTATAAAATACTGCATGATTGCAACATCTGTATGATTATTTTTAAATGCTTTTAGTATTTGAAAACTTTTAGTTTATATCAAACACTATAATGTTCCTGTTCTTAAAATTTTGAGCCATAAAAATGGTCAAAAACATTTCTAGCATCATGTTTCAACTTGATATAAATGTTGCCTCACTTCTTCTGGTCTTTCAACACCTAGGCCATTATATCCATGTTGGTCATCATTGCATTTCACCACTGAATGTGTTTTCTCATCAGGAAAGCAAAGTTGCTCAGTAGGAACCCATGCTGGATTGCAAAGACCCTAGTCCACATTAATGAAGTATATGCTTCTTGTCTCCTGTTGAGCAACTTACATCTTCCACACAGTAGCACTTTTTGTTTTTATTTTTGTTTTGAAAAATGTTGATCAACAAAATCCTCTGGGTACTTCAGTTGCCATTTTCCATGTGTCTGTTGCTTTTATCATTGTATGATGTTAATGTAGCTTTATTCATCATATATTTTGTGTTTCTTTAACATTTCATTCCACAGGCAGCCCAGAAAGTCTGAAAGATCTAGCATCCAAAAACAGACTAGGAAAGGCACTGCCTCTGATGCAGAAAGGTAGGCTTGGTGTCGTGATGTGCTGCCATCTTGTGTTTCACTTATGCTTTCAGGCATTCTCTCAATCTAATATTGCAATATCAGGACTTAGACATAAATTGTGATGTTTAAACACATTCTTATAAATAAATCCATCGTTATGTGAGAAGGGTCTCAGTGAAGAAATTAAGGTAGGGTAATTTGAAGGCAACCCTCAAGTCTCACATTTTTTTCATTAACTCCTCTTATTTCTCTTAATATTTGTTCTGATTAATGATGTGAGTCAAATTGACTCATTCTAAAATACAGATTGATATGTTAATATTTTGTGTCTGAGATAATTTTAAGTGCCACCACAGTGAATATTGTCCTGGAATATGGAAACTTTTTGAGTGTTATTTGTTCAAACATGTTCTCCTTAACATGAAGCCTTGTATACCTGGATGCTCTAAGATCCTGTATTACAACCAGATCCATGCCAAGTCAATGTAAAAGCAATTGTTGACATTTTGTTTGTAATTCACCCAATCCCACAAAAGTTTTTGATTCTTTTTCTTTAGGCACAAGATATTAAAATATTTATTTATGTAGTTGTAAAGATATTAAACTGTCCAACTAATATAAATTTATTTACCTATCCATGTATTATTGAGAGAATATAAGGGAAATTGGTATTAAATGAATGAGCATATTCAAATGACATAACTATCACTATACAGGTATGCACAGATAAAGTGAAGATAGAGATAGAAGCAAGTTAAGGGATAAAATTAGAAACTGTCCTATGAACAGATGTCACTTGAACTAAATCTAGATAGGATAAAAATACAAAAGGTCGAATATTCCACAAGAGAGGGCAGTGTGAAAGCACATTAAGATTTGGAATGATTTCTTGAGTTTGGGGAAATTGTACCAGTGTTTGGATTGAGAATAAGGTTCAAGCAATGTGAAAAAGAGCAGAAAATAAAATTGGAGAGATTGTGACAGGTTAAATGATGTAACTATGCCATAATAATGCTATATTAACAATTTTAGTTGCTGTATTCATCCTTAAGTCATTGGTATATTTAAATTTGGGAAGTAGACGAGCAGTCTTGAGTTTGAAAATTACAGATCATTTGAACCACATTTTGGAAGGTAAATTGAAAGAGCTCAGGGTAGGTAGAAGACACCAGCTAGGTTATCAAAACTGGCTTGGGCAAGATGGGATCTACAAGGCAGGAATTCATTCAATAAATGAATTGCCTAGTGATAGGCTAATATAGGGAACAAAATGACATTAAGATCTTAAAAATTAGTACATATGAGACACCTACTGCATTAAGGGATATGGATTTAAAACACATACACACAGTAAACTTACTCCTAAAAGCTCATGAAAATGTTGACTGGTTAAGGCAAATAAATTAGGATAGAATACGTAAAGAAGGACTTCAACAAAGTGTTGAGTTGAAGAAGGAGCTGCACTTTGAGAAAATGAAGCATGGAATTCTAGAAAATAGGTAGCATATGATTTAATAATGCCTTTTTAATTCTGTTTTCACATTATTTCATTTTGAGAGAGAGAGAGATAATATTCCCATTAGATGTTTCACTCCCTAAATATCTGATGCAGAACCAAAGCAAAGGCCAGCAGTCAGGTTTCCTGTTGCGTTACATACAGGAGTACAATGACTTGAGTCATCACCTCTGTTTTGAGGGGTCTGTAAAAGCTAAACACTGGCTTCAGGAGCTAGAGCTGAGTGTTGAACTCTGGCACTTTCCTGGGAGATGTGAGTCCTAACCAGTATGCTAACCTCCAGGTCTGACATCTACCCATGCATTCTCATTTTTAAATCTCAGTTTAGCTTTATGAAATTTCTTTAATATCATTGTAAATGAGCCTAACTCTGTAGTTGAGGTCATTTTGAGCTTCAGCCATCATTCTCAGGTCATCCCCTCCCTTTGCCATTATTAATGATTACTTTGACATGGTTCAAACATTTCTTCACATTCATATTCCTTTTACCCTTTCAAACTTCTTCGATACATTTGATAAACCCTAGTGAAGCGACTTGTGTTTATAGTTACGGGTTAAAGATATACCAATAAGCAAGTTTGTTTTCTTTTTGAGAGTAGGCACTATACTTAAAAAGTCAGGTGATCCCAGTAACAATTGAAGGTGCTTAGCTGCATTGAATGATAGTTGGGTGCCTGCCTCTGCAACCCTGAAAAGAACTGACCAACACAAGATCTCTTTTCCCTACTAGAAATGACAAGGATTGATTAACTCAAATATCTGCTATTTAAAATCCATAGACATACAAAGGTGTTAGGAAAGGTTTGTAAAAAAATGAAATTAAAAGACAAGTCTATCTCAGCAACACAAATTTGAAATCTGTGTTTATTTGATCTTCAAAAGATCGTGAAAAGTACATACTATGAAAAAAAAACTGAATGGATTTCCTATTTTCTGTACCAGAAAAAATGTCACTGTCACTGCACTTTCCACAAACACTTTGGACTATCCCGATATTACTGTAGGTTTTAAAATAGAAAAAGTATAACCTTTTAGATATGTAGAATTTTAAAAAATAGTTGAAATAGCTTTTGTTGACTTTTATTACAATATAACATGCCTAGTTGTTTTCTTTTGTTGTTGTTGTTGTTGTTAAGAACAAAAAAAATGGCCTGTATTTTCTAGATTCCATTCTGTCTCATTTCTTCAGAAGTTACTTAGAATTGACAGGTGAGCCAAGGTTACAGCATGAATGCTTTGAGCACTGATTCTTGTCCTTTGGGAGTTAATTTCCCCAAAGGAGTCACATTGGAGAAGTTTGCTGTGTAATTATCATGATATTAAGGTCCTTTTTTGGCCTCACTGGTTCAGCCTTTTGAGGAACAGCCACCAAAGAAAATAGTTTGAAACATAAGTGACCATTTGCTTAATGAAGATACATGAAACTGATTTCTGATTTCTATTCCTGGCCACTTTAAGTGCTTTGTATCTTCTTGGGAAGCTACTTGATTAGATAGTTGTCCAGCTTTTCACCTTCCTGTGAATTCAGCCATAGAATGGCTACCATCATTTCTACTTTCCATTCCTAGGGGCTTTTCTTCTAGAACCCATAAACTGTGTGCAAAGTTTTTTGTTCAAAGTACTATTTGGAGTCTTTAAATAGGCGTTTGTTGTGTTGTTGCTGTTGATAAGAGCCTACGCACGCCTATAAGGAATCATCACCTTCCCTTAAAGACCACATATACATCAATTGCAAATATCCCAGAACTGTACTGGGGCCTCCAGACAATCAGTTTATTATAGAATAATATGTAGCCACACAAATACAGGACTTAAGAGATAAGTCTTTGGTGAAAAATGTGTCTTAAAAACAAGTGAAAATGCTAGTGAGGTAAAGAGAGTTGACAGCAATGAACTCAATGCTAAATGTTAGATCCATGTCTGGAGATGGTCAGTTAGAAGATGACAGATTTTAGTTGGAATAGTAATTTTACTCTAGAAGTCACCTTTTTATTTTAAAACTCAGGAAAATACACACAAAACACAGTGCTGATTGAATAATACTTTTCCACATACTTTGATCCTATAAATTTTTAGAATTTAGTTCTTTTTTTGTTTGAAAAAAGTAGTTTTTTTTTTGAAAGGCTGAATTCCAAAATGGAAAAAAATAATAAAAGGAGAGAGGTAGACCCATCTACCATCTGTTAGCTCACTCAAATATTCAACATTATTCACAGCCTCTGAGTGCCTCCTTGTGGATCAGAAGATGCATCCTGAGGTTACATATTCTTGAACTGTGTAATATTCACCTAGGAAACCATGGTTTGTTTGGTTTTTTTTGCTAATTAAACTGCTTCTCATACTTTGACCATTTAGTTTTATGTCACATGAAATCCACCTAAATTGTTACTATTTCAAGTCATAATTCGTTGTTATTTCAGTGTTTAGAAATTAAGGGATGAAGTTGTAAGGTGAAAACTGATTCAGTTTTCAATCTGTATTTAGCACATAGATAGTCAATGAGTTTATTTTCATGTTAGTAGTTTATAAAGACTAGTAGGAAACAATCCTTATTCTCTGTCATCTGAGAGGACTTGATCATATAACCGTTTTCATACAAAATAATTTTCTGCCAGTTTATTAATACACGTGTCAGTTTTGAATGAACCATTTTAATCAGTCAAATACTACCAGTTCCTTTAATTGGGAAATTGAATGGATATATCAGGTTTCAGTATATGAAGCAAGATGAATTAAAAATTAATCTGTAATTGAAGAAAGTGAAATACAATTTTGTTGAAGTCCTTTGTTTTACCTTCTTGTTCGCTACAACCTGAAATTTTCCCATGTTATTACTCTAATTTGGAAAGGATGCCCAGTTTGACATTATTATAATTATAAAAATAATTTCACTTAAAAAATTTGTTGACTCATTCATGGTGGACAACGTGTTTGTGGATATACCGTTAGAGTTGAGGATGTGTTCATTTTGACGCATGTTCATTTATTTCATTCCTCTGTTGAAATAATATGTACTGGATATTTTCATCATGTATTGTACTTAAAATGTTTACAGAAATGATGGAAATGCAGAATCTTGTGTCCGTTTAAACAGGTGTGGGCATAAAGATAAGTTTTAAATTAGTAATTTTTAATTCATAAATTGCCAACATGTAATTTTGAGCAGCATATTAACTGTCATGGGCAAATATTTTCATCAAAGATTTTATCTGAGTAATCATTTTATCTGTATAACTCATTGACACTGATATAGTTAATAGTGCATTCTCCATCTTATTATGTTAATTTTTTGTTGTACTCGGATTAACCTTGAAAGTCATTCTCCTTTTTCACCTACTTGACATAGGCTTGCTTATTGCAGAGTACAATTGTGAACATTGTAAAAATATGCACAAAGTTCTATAGTGCATTTTTTCTTCTGGAAGGCAAGTACCTGAAATAACCTTGCATTCAATCTCATTTTACTTCTTCATTTTGACATCGTATCTCTATTGTGCTCTTGTTCTCTGTGCAGCTGTGTTCTACACCCTGGAGCTACAGCTCAACAATAACCAAGAGACAGTATTTTCAATGCTTATGGAACTTAAGAGATTTATTACATTAGTGTAACTTACACTTGACTTTTATTTAAAAATGCATGATGATTTGCACATTTGCAATGACAATTTTTCAGTTTTTATTTGAATTCTGTTTTAGGATTTGTGTGATGGGGTTTCTTTGTAGTAAACAGGTTTTCCTTGGACAAATGTGTTGCTGTCAAAATTAATGTGAACCTGCTGACTGAAGATCTTTTTTGGCCCTAATGTTTTAGGGTTCTGCCACCCTGTCTTTCTAGAAGGGGACACACAGCCCTAAGAGCAACTGATCAACCAAGCTTTAGGGGAAAACATCCCGCTCGCTCCAGGTCGAGTGAGCACTCTAGTGTCAGAACACTGTGTTCTATGCACCACCTTGCCCCCGGAGGTTCGGCGCCACCTTCACCGCTCCTGACAAGGTCGCTCCTCAGTGTGCAGCTCAACATCCATGTCCTGCCTCCGGGTGTTGGTGTGGCGTTGTACCTTCCTGAGCACTTGAAGCTTTCACTCATTATGACACCATACTTTTTTTTAATTCTTTCTTTGTGGCACTTAAGCCTCTCCTACATCCTCTATCACTTGCATACACCTTCACTGTGCTGGTGATTCTCTATAGCTCCTGCCAGTTAGTTATCATTGAAGATGAAATTTGGCTGTGTTCTGTCCTTTCATCTGTTTGTGGCATATTCATATATAAATTTTAATTGATGTTAAGTTTCTATAAAGAAGTTACCTGAAGTTAAACACACATCTGTCTTAAAGAGTATTTGACGAATTTATAAAAATTGTCTTTCAAATATGATCAGTAGGATCTTAGAATGTACTAATGTTCTACATAGGTAAAATTATGTGAAGATCAGAAGATAGATATCGGCTTTTCCTGGGCAGCAGTAACATAGCTGCGTCATTAGCAAATGTGCATTTATACTTTGAATCCTTACATCAGGATATTTTATAGCATCTGATTAAGGTTATTTTCAATTTATCCTACAATTTTCTTATCTAAAAATAAAATAGTGTGTTTTTCTATATTTGTAGTTGGAATTATTCTTATTGATTGTAAATAATTCTGGAGAGTATATATGGATTTAATAGTAACAATTTAGACACCAGCCTTTTTGAACTTGTACATCCATATTGTTAAGTTCCAGAGGCTGCAATTATATACATTTGGTTCAGCAATACTAAAAAGAAATAATTTGCCCAGAAAAGCACAACTTCATAAAAAGTGAATCAAAGAGAATAAATAGAATTTAGTTCAGCTTGGATATTTATCACATGGATCTTTGTGTGGCAGATATTTAACCTTTGTAGCTCGTTTTATAATCTTGCAAATATCATGTTTGCTTCCATTCGTCAAGCCAGGGGTGAGGGGGAAGAAGGGGGATCATGTCTCTTTTAAGGGGGAGCAGGAAGGAAAATAAACAAAAACTTTTTGTCAGGCTATATTGGAGTCTCATCATTCCACCATCCTCTTTGCTTTTTAACCTACAGAGTGCACCGACAAGGAAGCCCAACCCAGTCTCCCCCGGCTGACGCATCTTTCAGTAACCGCAGGGGAAGACAACTCCCACAAGTGCCAGTGAGGAGCAGCAGTATAGAACAAGGTATCCATCCAATAAAGAGAGATCACTGTCCAAAAATCTCGGCTTTAAGAATGTCCTTCTTTTATACTTCTTCCATTAAATGAATAGTATTTTGAATATATACATTTTATTGCATCCTAAGAACTTAATTTTTTAGAAGAAAATGTATAGTTTAATAACATATATTCAGTTTTGGTTGAGTGCGCGTATGAATGAACTTTAGGTGGTTATACAACAGAATGTTTAGAGGTCTAGAAATAAAATTTTTTCAGGGTCAAAGGAAGAAAATACAATTTTTAAAGACCACCATGCAACATTGCATTTATGTGTTATAGGAAGATTTAATGGTACAGATTGTTGAAACTTTTGGAAGAAAATGAAACACTTGACACTATTGGATACTTCGTTGGTGTTTAATTTTGACTTGATTAGCAATGGCCTATATTTCTTGTATAATGATGAAAAATGACATGGAGCACACATTTTAGTGTGTTTTTGAAATTCATGTTGCTTGAAGATTCTCATATCCATGTTGTGGTTTGGAAGGGAGAGAATGAGAAAAGAGAGAATCAGATTTTTGAATTATATCTGGTAGTAAAAACTCAACTTTCTAAACTAACTGAGATGAGTTAAATGTTAGGTTAAAATGTCAGTATTCGTGTGACCCATAATGCTGTGCCATTTCTCAGTAGGTGAATTAATTTCTTATCAGTGTTGGTTGCCTATATTTGTTATCATTTGTTACACAATGTACTGAAATAGTTTCTAATTTGAACAAGTTGTAATATAAATGCATTGGACTTTTAAGTAAGTGATGTGTTAAAAATCTTCGTCCCTATCAAAATAAGTGAAAGGTTAATATCTTGAATATTTTTTTCAACAGTGTTGATTGTTGCTGATGTAAAACTTGCATTCATACTATACTGAAGGTTCTGGGTAAATGTTTTCTCACTGAATTGGTGTGTGTTACTGAACATGTCACAAAAAATATTACTGGTCTAACAAGACATGCTCCTTGTTTCAAAGAAAGATAACATAGTATTATGCCATGCAGAGTATTTGATTATAGAAAAGCTATTGTAGAGATTATGACATGTCAACTGACTAAAAGAATATTGATGATGCAATGAACTGTTCATCTGTGTATCTTGTTGGTACATCATGCTTTTTATTTTTCAGGATTGTTATAGTGATTTGTGTTTAATTAATCAGGAAAATGTTTATGAAACTTTCTTTTCTAAAACAGCAGCTAATAGATTGAAATTATTAGTTCATATGTTTTAATAAATTTTCTTTGTCTTTCTGGGAACATTTTGAGAAGGCTATTTATGTTATAAAATTCCAACTGGTAGTAAGATTATTTTAAAATTTAAAAATAAAAATTGTTTATTTAAGTTATCTATCCATGAACTCCTGTTGCACAACTGAAAGACTACAAATTTTGATGTTCAGCTACAAGCACAACTGCATATATTGCTGAAGGTGGATATTCAAAAAATCATGTGGTCCTAAAATTCTTTGCATTTCCTCTAGTTGCAATTAAAGGATTCTGCATATAGTGGGGTACTGTATATAATTCTCCTATGGTGAGATTTTAGTTGTATTATTGCTGCAGACATAAGAATTGCTTCTCCAGAATCAACTGTATTTTATGTTGGGATTCAATTTTTAAAAGCTGATGTTCTATTGTTTATCAGTGCTGCTGTTTATAATATTCATATTCACAGTTGTCTTTCAGAGGAAGCATCAATTTTTAAGGTTTGCATTGTGGTGGGAAGAAGGGATTGACTAAGAATGTTACTAATGGATTCATTTTTAGATTAAATATCACAAATGCACTCATAATGCTTTGGCTCATTTGAAGTCCTTGAAATTTGATCTTAAGAGTCATTTACATGCAACAAAGTGACAATAAGCATGTACCATATTTAAATATTCTATGATCAACAAAATAAGACTGATATTGATGTTAATATGTGTTTTGGGACTTTTCTGGTAAATAATATTGTCTGTCATCACCTTTTAAAAAATCATTTCAAAACTAAACATTCAAAGGACAGCTAGGTATGTACTAGAATATTTTTAAAAGCAGTCTTCTAATTTCTTTCATGAACTAGATAAGATTTAGCACATTCAGAATTAACTTTACTATTGTCATTAAGCGTATAGAATTCCATTTTGTTTGGGCATTATCTGTTAAAACTTCTATCTTCTATAAAGGTTAGTGCTGACAGGCATTTAGTTGAAATTGTTTCAGTCTTTGCTGAACTTGACTTTCTTATGGTGGACTCCATTTTTTAACTTATAATAAAAAGTAGTTTAGCTGTTTTAAAAGAAGTAATTAAAGAAATAAGCAACTAGTTGGTAAGAGCAAATATCAAGCTCTTGGATTTTTTATTAAATCTACAACTTCTTAATACACTTATACATTCATTTTATTTATAAAAAATTGCAGAACCAGTTATTCATGTTATGATTTTTAGTATATGTAGCTTTTTCTGAAAATAATCTTTTTAAAATGTTAAGCTGCTCTCTGAAAATATATGCTTTTTCTTGCTGTTGTTGTTGATTTTTGACTGATAAATCTAGCCTATCTGGTGCATGAACTCTGATTATGTTAAAGTAGATTTTGACAAAAAACAAAGATGAATGCAACACACATTTTGAGATAGAGTGGTTGATAAGATAGCCTTATCATTTAGGAAATCCTAATGGAATATGATAATTGAGAGCAGTGACCTCTGTGAAATTTCTCTGGTTATTTCAACATTTTATTTCACTGTAGTCTTTATATAGGATGTGACTAAAGGCAGCCTGTTGCATCTTGTATAAAAATGTAGTTTCCTAAAAACAGCCAAGTGGTATTTTCATGTGTGTTCAACCCAGAGTCTTTATAAGAAGTGTTTTTAACACTTAGGAGCATGCCAGTTATGTTTTATGTTTTCCATTATTTTATCTGCTACCTCAACATCCAAAGACATTCCCCTTCAAAAACACCTGGGAAGATCAAGTTATTTCTCAGTAAGTGGATCAGTCATGGCCATTTAGTATAAAGTTTAATGAAATATCTGAGAAAGTCTCTAAAAAACAAATCATATTACTTTGGGAACTTTGCATAAAATTGGAGAGGGACAACATGATTATTTAAATAACAATACATTTTTCCATATATAAAGTGTTACAAAATAAACTATACAATTCAAATTCAGTGCTTCCTAAGTAAAAACAGTACATGTTTTTTTCATTTATCTGGCATATCAAATCATCTGATGTGCTGTCATTTTTGGAGTGATAGAAATTTTTGTTGTGAATATTAAGAATGTTTTAGACATTTCTAATAAAATATACATGACTTAATCTCAAATCTCTTAATAAAACTGGTGCTGAAATATAATTCCTAAAAAGGCAAGAAAATACAATTTAGAATACATTTTAATATACCAACCCTATTAGTATTCCAATGTTTTAATTTTTAAATTGTATTCATTCTTTCTTTGATTAATTTAGTGCCATAGTTGAGACTTATTCATGGTTTGTCACTTGCAGTTTATCATGTCACATTATATGTTATGCATTTTTATTCATGCCATTGTGTTAATTTACATTTCTGTGTCTAACTACAAATTTGCTGATTTCTTTCTTTTGTTTCCATCATTATGTGCATTTAATACATTGAAGAACAAGACAAATATAACTCTTCCACAAAAGGTAAATATGAATGTAACTTTAATAATTTAATATTGCTACTTTTATAACAAAATAAGTTTTATAATTGGATTTATTGTAATGGTGAGTGAAATTATTTAACAGATAATTATTTCCCCAAAATGCACTTGTAGGGCATATTATAATAGTTCTTCCATATAATTTTTTACATCAAAGAGAATGAAACATTACTTTAAAATTAAGGATATTTTTGCTTCAAAATTTATACACACTGTCACCTACAACACAACTCCCTTTGGAAAATAATAATGTATCCTTTCAATTTGTTTACATGTCTCTGCTCACATAGCTTCTTACCCCTACTCACAATAACACCTTAAACAAAGGAGCAGAATAATAGCTGGATTTTACTTTCCAGATAGCAGACAGCTCTAGTGCGTGTCCAAAATCCCCTTTTGTCCTGCATCTGGACAGCAGCCGCCATGCTTGCAGATCCCAGTGTTGGTGTGAAATTCATTAATACTGTTTTACTGAGAGGAAAGAAAACCATTCAGAGTATTCTATTGGCACATGCCTGAGCGCCTCTTTACTTTTGCTCACATTCTGGTTTTGTCATCTGCACCTAAGTCTCGAGTAGGTTGCAAGCCTTACCTGATGCCTGAAAGGCTCTCCACACCCTGCCTCACACAGTGTTGCTGGAGTGTTGTTAGTGTTAACCAAAGATTTGAGCAGCAATTTCCAATATAGGATTGCAACAATATTAAAGATACTTAAAATTTTATAAAGCTGTATATTTTAATGAAGGTACATTTGCTCCATAATTGAAAGTGGATCAATTATTAAGTTCATTTGTTTCCCATAGTAACCCTTCAAGCTAGGCTTGAAAAGAGCATCATCTCTCTTTTGTGATAGAGGTTTGAAATTCAATGAGAGTAAACACCTTTCCCATGCACATTGCTGAGCAGTGGTAGACTACAAACACAGCTGTCTTAATTTTGACCTCCCCATACTGCATGTTGTTTATATCTGGTTTAAGCACAAATCACAAACATACTGTTCTTAATGCTCAGCATATTTGAGTAAGTTTTGCTTCTCAATATTAAGAGAGAAAAATAGGGAATATTTGATAATTTTAGTCTGAATTTAAAGAAACATATTTACATTTACCTACATAGTTCATTAATTTATCATTTAGAGCACTTTCATTAACACTCTTTTTAGTCAAAAGCTAGAATTAAAGCATCAAAAAAAAAAAAACACTTAACTCAGGGTGTGCATGAGGCATTCGTGTTTGTGGCCCCACAGAGCAGAGCAAAACATAAGATTTTTATAAGATCATTGCATCCTGGCTGAGG